AAAATCATCTCAGAACCCAATGAAGCTCCATTTGTGATTCAAGTTTGTTTAATCTACTACTAATCACTTGGATTTATCGAGAATTCTATATGAAAAGGGCTTATATCATTAGAAAATAATATAATTGATTATATTGTCTACTACTGAGGCAAAATCCGATACTCCTATAGCAACTTAGAGTTCTTAGCTCAAATTATCCATAAAGAATAAGGTATGAATAAAATTTAAATTGAGATCTTCTTTCGAATCAACAACGATTTGAGAAGTCAACGTATCGCATCATAATTCTATATGCCCTTTTGTTATTTATACCTAAACCATTAACATTATATACCTATCATTTCATTCCACCTATGATAACTATAAAACTAAGGTTGATTTCATACAAGCAGCAGTCAATCTGATAACGAAAGTTGTGAAGACAAATTGTAGTAAAATTATTATCATGGACCAAAGTAGTAATTTAAGGCTCAAAGGATTGAAATGTTGTGCAAATATAAATAATCCTAGATGCAACCGAAATAAGTTACGGGCCATATCGGCAACGATGGTAGAAAAAATACATTCTATGGGATATAACCACGAAATTGATGAAACGATGAGCATTTGTGAGTCATGCCGTAGCGTGATATCTCATAATAGAAGTCCAATTATGAAAAAACGCCGATCGGTTGGACATGAAGTAAATATCCAACCATCAACTAGTGGGCAGCAGCATAGTGATGATCCAGGTCTATCAATGAGTGGCCATCAATCCGTAGATGAGCTAGGTAAGAACAGTCATCCTGATGATTCTATCAACTTTTAACTGCAACCTCCTTATTGCATTTATTAATTATTTGTTCTTCTTCTTTCCTTCAGATACGGTACCATCAGTTCCATCATTGGAGTCAGTTCCATCAGCAGATGATCTGCAACGCCCATACAATGTTGAGAAGTTTAATGGCTTTGTGGAAACGTTGAATTTATTTCCAATTTCTTCAAGGAACATGAGGAGCATGGACTATCGTTCAATAAAATCTCTAGAAATTACACAAGCAGTGCGAAAAAATATATTTGGCCTAGATACAGCAGACATTAGCAAAGTAGAGGCATACGAAGAAATGATTGTGCAGCTAAAGGAGAAGTTCAATTCCCCTACAGCTGACAGAAAAGATCAGATAACAGTATTATCAGTATTGCCAAAGTCTTGGTCCGTGAATAAAGTTGTAGCAGAATTCAACGCACCAACGTACATGGTGAGGCAGTTGAAGAGCCTTGTTAATGAGCAGGGTATTCTAAGCACACCCAACAAAAGAAGTGGGCATGGGATCAACGATGATACAAAAAAACTAGTTAGGGAATTTTTTGATGACAATGATATTAGTAGACCTATGCCCGGAACAAATGATTTTGTTTCCGAGTTTAGAAATGGACGAAAAGAACACGTTCAAAAACGCCTGTTTATGATGCCCCTCTAAGAAACGTACATTGTTTTTTGTTGATAAATATAAAGATATTAATATTGGATTCACTGTATTTACACAATTGCGACCAAAATATTGCATTTCGCTTGATTCTAGTGGTATACATAATGTATGTATTTGTACAATTCATGGAAATGTAAAATTAATGATCAACAGTTTAAGAACTATGTCACAAGATGCAATAATAGAAAAAATGCTTTGTCATATTTCTACTAGAACAACTGATTGCTTTTTCCGTGCTTGCAAAAAGTGTGCTTCCAATGAATGAAAAATATTGAAGAGGAACTCACTTTGCTATTAGAATCAAATGACAAACAAGATGTTGTGTTTCAACAGTGGCTGAATACTAATCGTTGTAATTTGGAAACGATTATCAAGCCTGTTGATGAATTTGTTCGGTATCTCACTGATAAAATTAACAAACTTATTCTAAGAAATAAAAAAGAATCATTAAAAGAAGGCGAAATTCTAATACCTAACAGTTTGTGATTTTTTCTGAAAATTATTCATTCATTATCCAAAACGCTGCTCAAGGATATCACTGGAATAATTCTCAAGCAACAAAACATCCATTGGAAGTTTATTATAAGAAAGACAATAAACTTGAAAATGTTAGTTTCATTATCATATCAGAAGTAATTACTCACGATAGAGTTGCAGATCAGTTGTTCATCTCAAAAATGATAGATTTTATTAAACAATCGATAGATTTTTCTAAAATAACTTTTATGTCAGATGGGGCAGCATCACAATACAAAAATAAAATAAAAAAAATTTGCTAGTCTATGTAGATTTCAGTCAAAGCATGGATTATAAGCAGAATGGCATTTTTTGCTACGTCTTATGGGAAAGGTCCCTGTGATGCCATTGGTGGCACTCTCAAGCGAATGGCAAAGAGAGCTAATCTTGCTCGAGATTATGGAAACACCATAACAACTCCACGAGAATTATATAACTGGGCAGTTGAACAAACAGATAAAAATATCACAAAACTACGTTTCGAGTACATATCCACTGAACAGTACATCGAATTGTCAGAAGAACTCTAAGAACTATATAACAGCACAAAGACAATATATGGCACACAGAAATTCCACAGTTTTGTGCCTATAACTGGTGACAAAGTAGCGGCAAAAAGGTATTTTAATTTAGAAGATGAACCAAAAATATTTAACTTGATTGGAAAAAGGAAAAAATAACATTTATGAAAATATTTTTTGACAAGGTGTACATGTCCAAATAGTTTTATTGAACTCTGAGTGGGTGCTGCCAATTCCAAATACGATTTGGCGAGAAATGCATCATGAGCCCTTTTCATATGAAATTCTCGATTAATCAAAGTGAACTTAAATGTACAAAATTGAATCACAAATTGAGCTTCATTGGATTCTGAGATGATTTTGAGCTTCACTGGTTTAGTTTTGTGTGAAAATGGCAAATCAAAAAAAAATCAGTTCAGACATGAAAAAGTTTATGTACGAAAAACATTTTTTCCTTAAAAGTGCCCATCTCGCAATGTATGGACGGTTGGTAGTAAACATAATTACCTATCTTGAGGCAAATCGACTTTAAACATAAAAATCGATTTTTTTTTCCGTTCTTTTTGTTTCCGATAACTTGGACGATTTCCTAAAAGTCATCCATACACCACAGTTTTGTAGAAGTTGTCATTTTTCCATAATATTTTTTTGAAAAAATCGGCAGAAAAAGTTTGGCCCTTCTCAAATGTTAGTCTAGATAAATTTTGGAAAAACTAAGTATGCAAGTGGCATATTTAGTCAAGGTCCACACATCCAGAAAGTTTCATTGAAATCTGAGAGGGTGCTGCCTGCTCCGAATACGATTTGGCGCGAAATGCGTCAATTTTGTTTATAAATACATTTGCGTCGTTTTCAAATGTTACGACTGATATGTAAAAAGTCATTTTGTTCCCCAATATTCGATCAAGTTAGCGCTTCTGTCGTGAACAAATCATCAGAACTACCCTAGCCTCTCTACATATAAGCATTTGTTGTGCCAAGTGAAGCCGCATTAACTGATCAAAACGTTTCTTTCAACCTCCGTTGGCCTTATGTCTCATGATACCTTGACAGCTTGTGCGTCTAAAGCCGAAGTTTCATTTTTCACTTTGATCCTTTTTTGTGAATGTTTTGAAGAAATTGATTAAGGTACCCCGGTCACACTTTTCCCATTTTTATCCTCTGATATCTCAAGACATCATTCATAATAAATTAAACATGTGTTGGTTTTTATAAACCAATTTTTCGGTAATGAAAAATTCATGGTACTTATATTCAGGAAATATGCAATAAATGAGGAAAAAGTTTGAAAGCCCCTTATTGACCGTATTTATAACAAGCTCAAAAGATTAATTAAGTTAATTATTTAAAAAATAGCTTTAAAACTAAAAATTGCCAAACAAAAGATGCGAAAATTAAGCAAGACTCGACAACAAGAGATAAGTAGATTTAAAATAAATTTCTTTGACAATCTATGGCCATCTATGAAAACAAGATTGATGTTTCTCGGTTGGCTTTTGTTTTAACAACTGATGTAGCTTAAAATCAGTTAGACCCTTATGAAGTGAAATGAACAGTTATAAACCAAGATTAAAAGATACACAGGATACAAAGAATTTATAAGATTTACAAATTAAAAGGTAAATATGCTTTTTTTGCTGAATAGGCAGCTTATTTCACCAAATATTGTTGCTAGACTTTCAAAAGTCCGAACGGCACTAAGTTGCTAGCCCATGCTATTGTATAAAAAAAAAACATTTTTCATTCATAACTGGACTTCTCAAAAGTGCGGCATCGCTAATAAAAATGCGCTTTTATGTTATATCGTCTGTGTGTCTGCTGTGCACTTTTTCTTTGTAACCCAAGGAAAACATGGGAACCGAAACTATTTAACGTAAAAGCACACTTTTTTTTAACAATTCCGTGCTTTTAGTCGCACTTATAATCAGGTGAAAATTTGCCCTATGAGTCTTCATTGCAAGACACCCTATATTACACTATATCTGCTATAGTCTGATCATACTATTAGATTATGATTTAGTTTTGAATTACAAATAAACCACATTGTTATTGAATATGAACATAAGTTCAATCTGTAACATTTGAAACACTTCAAGGTGCAAGTTTGAAGTTCAAAATAGTGTTGCAAAAGCTGTTTTGTAATACAATTTGTATGAATACAGCTAAATGTCAATTGAAGAATCTTAAAATTTAATATTTTTTATTTAAATTGATACTTCTTGATTATTAAAGTCGATCAGATCAGTGAACTTATACTAATAAAACAACAACATTTGGATATAAAATTTGTCGAAATTACCGGTAATAACAGTTACGGCAAAACCAGTTACGGTAAAACCATATAAACATCCCTAGTATATAAACCTGGTTTATAAGATAGAATCTATCTACTGGTTCATAAAGAAATATGTTTTGTCAACTGTGTGCAAAGTTATTACAAAATCCGTGAGCAAAACTATGTATGCCAAGCATGAATAAAACAAACAAAACATACCAAAGCTATGATCTCTCATGCAATCTAATGACAGTGGAAACGTCTGGTCATCAATTTGCACCTTTCCTTCTAGTGTTCCAAAATGTTCGTAATGGGTTTGGTGGTACCTAAAAAGAATTAAAAACCATTAAATATATCCTGCCTTCCATCTTGAAACAGAAAACAAACTTTTTCAAATTCTTGAAATGATCTCTACTCCATAATTCTTTCGCCATGGCACGTGCCACTGGTTTGGGGTCCATATCGTTTGCAAAGTTGTAATATGGCATATCAGTCTTCCAAAATGCATTCAGCTTGACATTCATTTGTTGAGAGTGGTCATTCTCAAATCGCATTATTCCTTGATACTCTATCTTCCATTTTTTCATTGGTATGATGGGAATCAACTTCAATCCTTCAACTTCATAGCTTCCCAATTCACTATCTAATTGTTTCATACAAGTATCAGGAAGTCTTGGCGATACCAAAAGACGGTCACTAAATTCTGAGACCTTCAGGTACAGGAATCCGTTTACAGTGTTATTTTTCCTTCTAGCAGTGCCACATACTATCCATGATGATTTAGAATTAGCTCCATTGAAGTACACAGCATCGATAGCCTGTGTCGTTAAAAAAAATCAGGTAATGGCAATTAAAAAATATCATAAATATCTCTGAAAATTTAAAGCTGATGATCGTTGTGCGGATTCTTGCATTTGTGCATTTTAGATTGAGGCTTGAGAAAAGAACGCCAGGAGGGGGGGTTTGTTGAAACAACTTGGACTGGATCAAACCATCGAGCTTTGCTGTGATAATCAGAGTACTATATGCATTGACAAAAATGGAGGATATACGCCGCGAACCAAGCATGTAGACAGGCTCATACGTCATCACTTCATATGATATGCCCTCGACCACTAGATTGTTAGGTCGAATTACGTAAGCACCGATCAACAGATTGCACATGGTCTGACGAAGACTCTTGAACGGATCAAGCTGGAACAAATCCGAGCTGCTATGGGGGTGGACGCATCAGCTTAATGGGGAGTGTTGAAATGCGATCGAATAAGCTGTGCTTTATCGGTACAGCATATCTATGATAGAGTATTATTTAACCCAACCTTGAATGGTTTTATACCAGTGTGTCATGATTTTTAAATTCTCTGCTGTAGTGTACTTTTTCTCTACACTTTGTAACACACAATTAGCAACACGGACGTACATTCGAATCTGCGCGTGTTTCTCTCTATAATAGTAATTTATCAAAGCTAACAATATTTCAAGTGAATGGGCGGTGGACTGAACCACCGAACCCGTCTGCCAATGCACTGGTCGAGTTGCCGTGAAATTCGTCCTATGTTTAAAATTGTGCCGACTATCAGAGTAAGGTAATATTGAAGTCTTATAATAAGTAGGCCAGTAAGAATTGGACGATTCTTGAGTGCTGTGACAAAGTGGAAATTACCAGCTCAATAAAACTATTCGTAGATACTAATTTGGTCTATGATTATACCCCTACAGGGTTCCTAAAATATTCTTTTAGAAATCATTAAACTCAACCTACATGTATACTCGATGAAAGAGGTTGTGGTCTATCTAAGCTTGCATACAGTTGTTTATCGTTTTTCTCAGTAGATACCCGACTTTGCTCTAAATTCTTTTTTATCTGAAAACAAAGCTTGATGATAATCGATTAATATCAACATAGTTTAATCATTGTTACCTTCCTAAAGCGTAACAATGTACTCATCACACAATATTTAAGAAAATATAATCTGCCTGGCTCTCTATAAATATTGAACACTGGATCTATCTTAATGATCATCAGAAACCGAATTAACCAGGCGACTAGGACTATCAGCAGAATTGTGATGAAAAATCCACACGCCATTGAAATCAGGTGTTAAATAGCCAATAATACGAGTTGACAAGTCGATGGTTTAAACTGTACTGATGCACCGACATTTTGAGGTTTGAACATATCTACAGCAGTAAATGGCGTCCAGCTGATAATGAGGAGATAGGAGAAGCATTGCTAGCAACAGTCGGTGCACCTGGTTAATAATAGATAAGATTGTTGAATTCTAAAAGGTTGTCGAATGTCTGTACATATTATTTTGAGATAAACTTACATATGAGCTAAATTAACGAACCAATAATAAAGCGATTATATTACTGTGAGTGACAGAAAAGTGGAATCAACAGTTTGAATTGATGTTTACTAGGGAGCGCGTGGTTTTTTTTTTTCAAATGTCTTTTAATTATTCGTAAAACGTGCACATTTCATTTTCATTTTTGTCCCAGCTTCCGGGAACTCCTGAAAATATCCGGCTATGCCAAGTAGCCGGAATAACTGGTAAAAACGCGGGAAATTAGTGGCAGAAAAAATAAATAATTATACCTTGTTATCAATACTGGTGACATGTCTTTTAAGTTTATCAGTCTTCATATATGTTTAAATTGTAAAGTTTTTTATTTCGATTTAAGTGTAATGTACATTATTCAATTCCTATAATTTGATTTATGGCTCGAATTCATAATATAAAAAAATAAAGAATTAAATGTTTTATAAACTAGTTTTAATAGTGTTGTGTTCTTTCCCATAACAGAATTTTTACATCTCTTCGAGTTGATTTTGTCTCTGCTACAACTTTGCTGAAGACCAGTTTTAGATTGATCGTCAGGATAATTAGGTATTAATTGATTAGAAAGCTGATATTCTTCTGTCATGCTCCAGCAACTGCTCAGCAGGCAACATTGATGAATTTGGCGCGAAGAATAGGGCAATTAAATTCACCATACATGGGAATCACAAAATACTCAATAATGACTATAAAGTAACAATTTTTGATGGAAAATGGGACGAACCATGAAATGAGTAATGTTTGACACATTTGTGAGTAATTCTTACTACTAACATTTACTTAACAGATACTAATTAATTTATGTTGACAAATAATTTAATTTAATTTCTCCTCGAAAATGCTAACTTTATAGTTATTATTGAGTCCTTAATAAACATTATTGAGTATTTTGAGCTTACCGTGTACTGCAAGATGCAGTGTTGCCCTGGATAGAGCCGATCAGTTACATCAGAAAATTATCGGTTTTAAAATCAATTAGAGTAGGTGTTAAAGTAATAGCGGTGTACTTATAGTTGCGGTATGGGGATTATTATGTTGGTAGTATTCCTATAATAGTGGAATCCACTAGAAACCAATGCATTCCACTAATATAGGAACCACCGTTAGCAACTACAACAACTATTGGAACAGTGTTCCTATTAATGGAGTTTTCGAAATATTCAGAATGTTATATTTTTACCGTTTAAAAATTATATGCACCATCCCTCTTCAACGAGGGAGTCTGATAAAGAGAGATGATCAACCCGATTCGTACCTTCCTCAAAGTTGTCCTTGCTCGCTTTCTACTCAATATATACAATTTTCACACTACCGTACTCTAACGGAACTATCAACTCTATACTTTGATCTCCTCAGCTGTCGTATAAAATTACCACTTTGAGCCTGTTATTTGAAACTTAGCATCTTTAACTATGTAAAATTCGAGGGGGGCGACTCTATCTACGATGCAGAAAAAAATGTGTTTTGCTTTGGGCTGAGAAGACAAAAAGAAGATTGATGACTATTCTGAAGATTTCTTGCGAAAAGATGATGTGAGATGCAAGTAGATGCGAGAAATGAAAGAAGATTTTTCGAAGATTGATTCGCTAGTGTGACATTTGTTGAGGATCTAGAATTGAGATTCAGATGTGGTAAAATTTACATATTTACACATTATTTTCAAGAAATAAAGATCGTTTTAAAATTAAATAAAGTGTTGTGTAAAGTACGAGTGGAAGTTTTATCACTCCTTGGTGAACTTGAGTACCTACTCCGCCGATTTTGCCGTTCCGTTTTTGGTGACTAGTGTTCGTGTGTGATCCCGAAATACCCCGCCGGAAAACCGCGATCCTGCCCTAACAAATTATTATAACATATTATAACTCTCCGGTCTGAACCTAGCCTTATGTTCTAATATCACAGCATTATGAATACGAAAAAAATTTCACCACGTATTTTTTATTACATCCCACAGTGATCATCGGGAGGTAGCTGTTACGTCGCGAGAGTGTCGTGTGTGTTTTTGTATAGGATAGAGCTTTTCGTTTCAGATCTTATGCTTGGCTCCAACTATTTCCCAGGTTTCAGTTCACCTTCGTCAATCAAGCCGCAAGGAATAACTTTTCGTCGTGCTCTCGAATGTGTTCGCGATCCGAGGCTTTGAGATCGTGGTAATCATTTTATTTTTGTCTGTTCCTTCTGTTTGGCTTAGTCGTTGGTTTTTTATTTTTGTCTGTTCCTTCTGTTTGGCTTAGTCGTTGGTTTTGGCTAAACGTCGGTTAGCCGGGTTCGTCGTTGTGCGCGGTTCGTCGGTATCATCACGCCGTCAGGCATCATTGACTTCTATCAACACGGTATTACCGGACCAAAGTGGTGCTTCCTATAAATCTTCTTCCCCGGGGTGACCACCGTGTTTTCAATACCAGAAGAAACGGTGCGCTTTCTGTTGTATAGTGGATCGTTTTCTCTTCGTCCTGCTTCCATTGTGGAGACTCTACGGTTCACAATCTCGAATGTTATCGCACTTTTTATATTTTATTTTAATTTGATATTTTATCACAACCCAAACAATCTCGAAAGGATGGTCGACAAAGAAGGAAGAGACGAATTAGCGAGCAAGCGAAGATGATACGGAATGGAAGTTAAGTCTCGCACGGAGTTCAAGGAGCAAAATAAGATTTAAATGTTAACCATAAAAAAGGCTTGTTTGTGAGGTGTTGAGTTGATGTTTTATTAGTGATGATTACGTTTCCACAAAACAGAATCTATAAGTGGCGCGTAGCAAAGTGAAAAATTAAGTTGTGATCAATCAATTATGTGTAACAGTGGGTGGTATGGCAGAGGCTCGGCTAAAGGCACAGATCTACTGACAGCTTCTTATTTGGTTTTGGTAAATGTGCATCAACGAAAAACCAACAGCTCTTCTGGATCTCCGAAAATAATGCTACGTGTCCGGGGATTTTATGCTGCTCGTGAAGAACACTAATTATATGCTGCGCATTGAACCATTTCTGGAAACTGGCAGGTCGATTAAGAGGGGTGATCTTTCTTCCTAGGCACTAACTAATTCTTTCAATCAAACTGAAGGCCGACAATTTCAAGGTGATAGGGGATCTATCAAGCAAATTTTATTCGTAATAATGTTGCATAAACATTTAAGTTACTTGAATCTGTGAATAGTTACCTCTCTTAACCTAGCCACTAAAGGCGTGGTTTTGAAACATGCGATGGCTTCTATTTACTACTGGACCGATTTATGAATACTGTCCGGTAAGAGATTTTCTCGTCATCCCAGAGCATATGTAGTGTGCTTGCCATGCGATGTACGTTGCAAATATAATGGAGACTTCGACAGCGCTCATTAACACCTGTGAAATTGCTTAAGGGGAACTTAACCACTCCGAAAAAAAATAATTGCGTTTTGATTGTTCAAAAAATATTGGAAAAATATCAACAATCTGAAATAATTTTTTTTTGTTTTCTAATTTAAAAAAAATCAACTCTTTGGTTTTCATGGAGGTCAAATTTTTTCAAGATGAGAAAAAAAATTTAACATGGAAATTCTCCCAGAAATCTTAAAAAAAAACTGATTTTATTGGATTTTTGATAATTTTTCCCAAATTTTTAAGAAAAATAAAAACGTTTCAGAAAAAAAATTCTCAGGGCGGTAAACTTCCCCTTCAAAAACCAATATATTTGATATAATTGAAAACGGGCGTAAAGTCCCAGTTGATCCTGGAAAACCTTTACGTTGAAGAATGTATTATGAAATCTGAGTGATTTAGAAATTACATTTGCTCAGATCTCATATTTGGCATTCAATTGTAATCCGCAGCTATTTCACTGCGTAGCTATTCAGATTTACTATCCTGCCCGCTTTTGTCTAGTCAAAGGAGCGCACAATGGGTTACAGGTCGGTCGTAATTCTATGTTTTTTATGTGACTAGCTTACATGTTTTACTTTAAAATAGGAAAGCATATGACATATACGATCGGTTCGCAACGTTTGATTACTATCGCTGGTAATTTGAACGTAAATAAGAAAGATTAGCGTTTATAAAAAAAAAGTTGAATATTGACAACTTCATTGTTTTACAACTCAGAAACATTTGTATTTTATCTTAAATAGTCATATTTATATCACAACAAAAAATAAGGAATTTAAAATGACATGTAAATTAAAAACATTTTAAAATTACATCGCTTTAAAATATGTTTTAATTTAATTTTTCATTAAAAATCGTGCACATTAAAATAGCATGATAAAACTCAAAAAATTTCACGGTTATTCGATTAACTTTCTCTTGCAGTGTACTATTCTCCACCCGATAAAAAAAAACTTATCGAAAAACATCGAATTTTCAACGAAAAAACCTATAAATTTACATGCTCGTGTAAATTTAAATAAAAAAAAACATTGAGAAAGCCAATATGGTGGACACAGCTAGATTATTCCTTTATCTAACGTCGGTCTCTGTTCCGCAATCTAGTGCAAATCACCGATATACATCGATTGCCAGTCATTGACGGCAATCGAATGTGC